AGAAACACTAATCAAAAAGGCAGTTGGAGATATTGGTGTAGGTGTGGTATGGAAAAATGACTCTAATGACTATATAATAATACCTCTTAAGCCTGGATATTTCCAGTAATTTGCTTTCAGCAAATATATAGGCTGAGCTAATCAAGTTATCAACTGATACATCATTACAACAAATTTTTTTTGTTAACTTAAAGAATGTAGTGATACTGCTATTATAAAAATTTTTCAACTCCCCATCAATTTTTATTATTCTTGAGAACATTTCATCTATTTAAAAAGGTAAACTTTATGTTAAATGCCATATTGCTATATTTTTAAATGGATGAAGATGAATATCAAATAGAGATGGTATTTAAATTCCACTGGAACTATTTGAGTGATACAAATATTCTCTATTATAAACATAGAGTTTAAATGCCATCAAAAATAAATAAATAAAATATCACTGAAATTGCATAATTGGCTGTCATTTAAATTTATGGTTAAAAAAAGTGAGATGTGATTTATAAATGAAAGAAAGTACTTAGCTTTTCTAATTATTTTAAAGGCTACACAAGCATGAAAGCTTGGAGACCACTGCCACAGTTCTTATTTCCAGTTGGTACCTGCTCACAATAGGGTTCCATTTTTAACTCTGGAATGTTTTAAGGATTTAAAATTTAATCCAATTAATCCATGTAATCCAATTTCTCATAAAATATTTTAGAAAATCATTTCTGATTGATTCTGACCATAAATCATTAAAATAGAAAGATTGGGGAACATTGAGGCTTTATTTCATTGCTTTTCTTGGTTTGCTAATATTCTTGAATAAAGTATCTTTTATTTTATTTATTTATTTTTTTAAATTGAATAAAGTATCTATTTTAAAAGCAGTGAGGAATGAGCAAACTTCAGAGAGACTGAGAGAAGGGAGAATAGAAAAAATAAAGTAAAGCTACAATACCACTGCTGATGTGGATGGAGGTTTGCTGTGCTGGGCTTGGTCGCTCAGTCGTGTCCAACCCTTTGCAGCCCTGGGCTCCTCTGTCCATGGGGATTCTCCAGGCAAGAGTACTGGAGTGAGTTGTCATGCCCTTCTCCAGGGGGTCTTCCCAACCCAGGGATCGAACCCAGGTCTGCTGCATTACAAATGGGTTATTTACCATCTAAACCACCAGGGAAGCCCAAGAATACTAGAGTGGGTAGCCTATCCCTTCTCCAGGGGAACTTCCCAACCCAGGAATTGAATCAGGGTCTGCTGCACTGCAGGGGAATTCTTTACCAGCTGAGCTACCTGGGAAGCCCAATGGCAGCTTATGGAGGAGTATATTTTTAAAGGACAAGATTTTCCCACTCAAGGAACTTATAAGATCATAATTTTTTTTAAACATCTAGTTGGAAGGAAATGGCCATACTCCCTTTCAAATTCACATTTTAAGTACCTCTTTGCAGTAAGAGGAGAGCTGGGTCTGCTGCACATTGCCTGCAAAGTCAGTAAAGCCATAGGATTTGGCTTCACTCCTATGAAGTGTAGGACACTGGCTCCATCAGGTTGTTGGGAACTCTACAGCCTAAGTGTAGAACTTCCTCCAAGTTGCTAGGGGTTCCCTAAGAGTTTCAAGGTAAAGTAAGAGTTTCAAGCCTTCCATGAGTCTTTCAGACCTAAGGCTGCCATGGCACGTGGTTCAGGAAACGCTCAAGCCAAATGGAAATCATGGCTGAAATGCTGCAGGGTTTACATCTGAAAGCACAGGGAGAGAAGGACAGCCTCAGTGGGAAAAAAAAAAAACGTCCAGCAGTGGCAGAAATATAGTAGGAGCGGGAGATAAGCGTGGCTGCTGACATGGCGGAGCTCAGCCGTTTCCACTGATTGGCCCTATTTATCCTCTGCTGCAGACAGAGCCACTTCAGTGAGTTTGTCCCGCATGGTCGTTTTATGGCGCTCTGTGCAGCCATAAACACCACAGATTTCATCTGAGTCAGGCCTGTTCTGACAGGGAGCCTTGGTGATTGAATACCATGTGAAATTCGAATCTCGGTATTTGTGGACAATCATCTCCCCGCAAGTCCAAAATTTCCTCAATCCTTGTAACCTGGAGAAGAGTTTAAAGACTCATGCAGACATTTATAGAGGCACATATTGCAGAGGTGGTCCTGGAAGAGTAAGGTAGAAGGTGAAATAATAGATGTCAAGGAGAATTGTTGCAGGGCCTGCTCACCTACAGCGAATGACTGCACTCACTGTGGAAGAATTATTATATCTCTGACTATTCCAGAGAGAGCCACCACTTTATTGTGGCATGTGGCAATAACTTGATTTTTGGTAGTGAGAAATTAGGCTCTCTTATTGGAAAAACATTTGGGTTTTAAAAAAACAAACATCCACCTATTATTAAATATCAATATATTAACTTCCTGTGATAGTTTATACCTCTTTGCTCTTTACTTACGAGAAACAGCTTCCCCATTCCCTCTGCCCTGGGTACTCACAGCCCTTTTCCAGAGAACGTGGAGACAAAATTCTGGCACCATCTTGCACCTAAGACTTCAATGGAGGGACTTTACCCCTTCAGTAAGTTCTATCTTGCTGCAAATAGCACTTTCAGATTTTATTTCACTCTCTTTGGATCCGAAAACCTGTACTGTTTATGATTCTGAAATGTGTTAAAGCTATTTTAACATTGTTGTTGTTTAGTTGCTAAGTTGTGTCCGAGCCTTTGAGACCCCATGGACTGCAGCACACCAGGCTTCCCTGTCCATCACCAATTCCCAGAGCTTGCTCAAACTTAGGTCCATCAAGTTGGTGATGTCATCCAGCCATCTCATCCTCTGTCGTCCCCTTTTCTTCCTGCCTTCAGTGTTTCCCAGCATCAGGGTCTTTTCCAATAAGTGGGCTCTTTGCAACAGGTGGCGAAAATTTTAGAGCTTCAGCTTCAGCATCAGTCCTTCCAATGAATACCCAGGACTGATCTCCTTTAGGATGGACTGGTTTGATCTCCTTGCAGTCCAAGGGATTCTCAAGAGTCTTCTCCAACACCACGGTTCGAAAGCAGGACCCCTACCTGCATCAAATACCCATGGCAGGAAGGAGCCCGGGGGACTGGCCTGTGGCATAGATGATTTGTCTTCAACAAAGTGAACTTACCTACTTTTATCTTGTATTTGCTCAAGGAAAGCCTTGTTACAAAGGCTTCACCAGAATCACGCACCTCTCATTCTTCTCAGAGCCAGATCCCCAGTCTTGCAATGCTCAGGGCAAAGTTACCTGATCTCCAAGGATATAATCTGCAGAAACCTGGTGAAGGACTTTGGGGCACAGAGTGGAGAGCAGGGCTCTGGAGTGTTATCTTGGAATTCCTTATTAATTAGAACAATAATAATCATCTTCCTTTGCTTGCGATTCTCTTCCATACCCTCAAGGTCACCATACGTAGATTCACTTGGCGCAAATAATCAAGGGGGAAAAAGAATATGTGTTTGCAGCCCTCTTCTGTAATTTAAATATTTTTCTTTGAAACAGCAAATTTACTTTGAGCAGATGTTCTCTCTACAGAGCATGATCCTGCCACGAGAGGTAAATCTTCAGAGACCCAGGTGACAGCTCCATGATTCTGGCACAGGCAGTCCGAGTGGTTGCGGGTCGAGGGGGGCCCTCCTCAGCCTCTTGCTTCTTCCTCCTCTGGGGGCGGACGATGCAGCTGGTCTGCGTGTAAACACTGGGTTTGCAACACAAGGTGACTGAGCCAGCACTGAGCCGGCTGGGGTAACTCCTAAGCCCTTCTTTCTTCAGAATCAGAAGTGCTTATACTCCTTATCTACACGTTCATTAACAAATATTTATTGAGCCACTCCCAAAAGAGCACCGAGATGAAAAAGCGTGAGATCCAGAGACGGTCTGGGCTCCATTCCACCTCTGCGATCTGTTAGTGTCTAGTCGCTCAATCATGCCCATCTCTTTGTGACCCCGTGGACTGTAGCCCACCAGGCTCCTCTGCATATGCAATTTTCCAGGCAATAACACTGGAGTGGGTTGCATGCCCTCCTCCAGGGGATCTTCCCTATCCAGGGATCGAACCTGCATCTCTTATGTCTCCTGCATTGAATCAGGTGATTTCTTTACCACTAGCGCCACCTGGGAAGCCAGTGTTGGGACTTTGGCAAATTATGAACTCCTTTCTACCTCAGTTTCCTCTTCTTTAAAAGAGGGGAAAGTAATGTTAGTCTCTAATGGGGAGGGATTCAGCGAGGATCCAGTGATACAAGGTTTGTAAAGGGCTGCGTCCATTGAAAGAACTTGTAGCTCTTAGGCAAACTGGATTTGATGGGCTGTGAGCAGAAGTCACGTAATCCCATCAGGCAGGTCCTATAGGGGTCTGTGTCACTCTGAGATCACAAAAAGCTCTCGGATCAGTTCTTGTGTCAAGAAGAGTCTCCTTTCAAAAAGTCAAATATTTGATAGCAGATCAAATCCTGGAGCTCCGTTTAACTGAGAGCTTCTCTCCACCCAGCTTGCCGCTTGCCCGGGAGCCTGAGTGGAGGGAGGGAGTGGAGCCCGTCTCCTGCGCTCTCCTGGCTCTGTCTCCCACGCACGCAGTAGCGGTGATGGTGAACCTCTCCAAGGTTAGGGGCAGAGGAGATTACAGGATGGGAACCAGAGGAGAGTGGGCAGAGCCAGCATCTGGCTGTGTGCTTGGCAGAGGCTCCAAGCTGCCTCCTGTGGTGGGCAGGTGGCCCCAGCCACTGCCCTTCCCGCTTGCAGTTCCCAGGGCAGTGTCACCTGCCCTAGCCCTTTATGTGGCTCCCCTCCTTCCAGGGACCCTTGTCAAGCTCCCTCAGTTTCTCACTTGACTGGAGAGAGAAGAAAGCACACCCCTCCTCCTTCCTCATGTGGAAGGACACGGCCCTGCAAGCACAAATCTCGCAGAGGTCAGTGGGGCAGAGGTCAGTGAGCTGGCTCTCAGCTTCAGTGGATTTTCCTCCATTTTGCTGTTCCCCATCCACTTTTCCCTTTCTTCCAGTGCCCTGGTTGGTGCTGAGCGAGATTTTTCCTGGTGGAATTCGAGGACGTGCCATGGCTCTGACTTCCAGCATGAACTGGGGCATCAATCTCCTCATCTCTCTGACATTTTTGACGGTGACGGGTAAGAACTTGCTTTTCCCTAAGGCCTTTTATGCTCTTAGGACAGGTGTTAGGGAAGTACATCACCTGAAAAACACTTTCTTGTCAACATTTTCAAACACTCAAAAGTAAAGAGGATGGCAGTGAACCTGATGTAACAACCACCCAATTTAAACAGTTATGAATCCTTAACTCATTCATGACCCCACTTGTTCTGCCCCCAAATTAGCTTAAGTCATGTTCCAAAAACATCTCTAAAGTTTCAGCAGGGACCTCTAAAAGATAAGACATTTAAACACTGTGACTACAATAGCATTTTCACCCCTAAAAAAAAATACTAATAATAATCACTTGGTTTCAAGTATCCAATCTGGGTTCACATCCTTCCTTATAATTATTTTTTATACTTTATTTGAATCAGAGTTCAAATAACTGATTTACAGTTGATTGGTATGTCTCATAATTTACAGATTTCATCTCCATGTTTCCTCCCTCCCCACTCTTTATATTTTTAATAAAGAAGCTGGGTCATTTGTTTCATAGACGTTTTCCCAGGCTGGATTTGCTGATTGTAGTCATATTACATGACCCTCTGTCCTTTGTGTTTTTCCTATAAACTGCTATTTATCTGTGTGTGCTCACTCAGTCATGTCCGACTCTTCATGACCCCGTGGACTGGAGCCTGCCAGGCACCTCTATTCCTGGGATTTTACAGGCAAGAATACTGGAGTGGGTTGCCATTTCCTCTTCCAGGGGATCTTCCCAACCCAGGAATCGAATCCGAGTCTTTTGTGTCTCCTGCATTGGCAGGTGGTTCTTTACCCCTAGAGCCACCTGAGAAGCCTATTTATCTGTAAAGGCTGGAAAAGATTTAACTTTTCTTGTTTATTTGCAAACCCCTTCCCAGGTGGTGGCGTGTGTCCTTCTATTAGAGGCATCTCCTGTCTGTCTGTCTTCCACCTTGTCGTGCCTGCATCCTTTGAGGATCATTGCCCAGATCCATTATCTTCATTCCGTTATCCCTAAAAGACGCCGATGCTGGGAAAGATTGAGGACAGGAGGAGAAAGGGGGCGACAGAGGATGAGATCATTGGATAGTATCATCGACTCAATGGATATGAGTTTGAGCAAGCTCTGGGAGATGATGAAGGACAGGGAAGCCTGGTGTGCTGGTGTCCATGGGGTTGCAAAGAGTCAGGTACAACTGAGGGATTTAACGACAACTGAATTTTTATCAGCAGTATTTCTCTAAGGAGAAAATTCTTCTCATTAGTTATTTGCCTGCCCTGAAGATCATATACTAGATTCATACACTAGCAAGATTAATGTTTGAAACTTCCTCTTTATTTTCTAGTTTTCAAAATAATAAGGTGGTTCCCCAGCATCCTCAAAAACTGACTAATGAGTTTCTTTCCTTTATTTTATATGTATATGTATATATATAATGCATAAATATTAAATAGTGCATATATAATATAGAGATAATATATACATTTTCAGAAGTGGTTCATGCATACTTACTTAGTCTCCCAGTCATGTCTGACTCTTTGCGACCCCATGGACTGTAACCCACCAAGCTGCTTTGTCCATGGGATTTTCTGGGCGAGAATATTGAAATGGGTTGCCATTTCCTTCTCCAGGGGATGTATACTCTAAAAAATATATGTCTAGAGGGAAAAACAAGAGTCTCTGAACTCATGTACTTCTGAATCTTGTCGACCACTTTTCTTTCTTTCTTATATCTACTTTTGGAAGTGAACTTTTGGAATTATTCATTAAACCTAGCTTGTGTTTTTAATAAAATTTTTAAATATTTATGTCCCACATTTTTGGAAATAGCCCAAGATGAAAAGAAACAAAGGAACTGGTCATTTGCACTAACCATACGTCTCCTGCTGAGGTCACACACATAGATCCATGCCCTTCACCGTCTCTCTCTCTCTCTCTCACACCTGATGTTTATATAGAGAAAGAGAAATATAAAAGAAAAAATGGAAATGATGGAGGACAAATAAAGATGGCACAAATCTCTGAGAAGGATAGCTAATATACAAGATGAGCTGATGAAGACTCAAGTTCTGAGTGGACTTTTAGAACAAATGTTTGGAAAGCATATACATTTATTAAAAAAAAAAATCCTGGTATGATCTCAGACCTGTAGATGACATTTCATTTGACTAAGTTTGAAATCCTATACTTCTTTTCAAAAATCAATTTTCCAAGTAAAAGATACAAGGGTTCTGCTTGACAGCAAGCCCTTGGACACTGACTTTTAGTGCAATCTCAGCTGTACCAATAAAAGAAGAATGTTCCGGAGACACAGACATACCCTCCTGCGGTCACAGTACAGCTGGGTATGGCTTTCAGCTCTGAGTGAAATATTTTCAGAGAGTTCCAGTGTGTCCCCCTAGGAGGGCACCCCGGATGACATGGGCATATGACCTGTGGTCCGTGAAGAACAGTTGCGGGAGCTCAGGGTGTTTGACTTGGACCAGAGGCTGCTCAGGAAGGGATGCGTTCAAATATTTGAGGCATGTCATGAAGAAGGGATGAGGAAGCCTGATGCAGAGAACAGAAAGGAGCCTCTGAACCCAAATTCCCAGAAGGGAGACCTGGCTTTAGAAAAGAGTGAGGAGTATGTTTGAAACAGACAAGGCTGATTCACAATGAAGTCCACATCTTTAGAAGTGGTGAGCTCCCTGCCACCGTAAGTACTCAGAAAAGGGGACAAGCTTGATGAGATGAGTTTTTTTTTTCCTCCCCCATCTTCTACTTTTCTGATTTTATGCCCCAGAGAGGGAAGGAGGATCAAATCTTTAAGCTCTTTAGTAGTACTTGCTTGGGGGAAATCATGCCCCAGCAGCAAGAAAGGCAAGAGAGAGCAGACTTTAATTAAAATCGCCAGGAGGACTGCAGTACCGGGCTTTTTTTCCTTCTGAACCCACCTCAGCACAGCTGGCCTACAAGTGTTTAATATGTGTGGATCCTTCCACTCTGCTGTTACCAAACTGCCTTCTCACAAAGCTGCTCGGTCAGTGTTCCCGACTGACTAGCTGTGATTTGTGGCCATTAGGGCTGTCTGCCCTGGTTCAGCCTGTGGCTGGTCTGAGCCAGGCTCCTCCTCTCTGCTCCTGGTGACACTGGACTTTCTGCCATGCATAGGATGCCATAACCCAAGGGCAGGCTCAAGTGCATCGGAGGCCACCTCTCACTAGCCACCTTGCCTGGACCTCGGTCAGTACTGCAGAGGGACAGTACCTCTGGCAAGAAGCTGCCAGAGGAAAAACTCGGTTAGCAGATGAGATCCATCAAAACCTGGAGGACCCTGCTTCTTGCTGATGCTTCTTAGCAAGTTAATATCCTTCATTCAAACCATTATCACTTTTTTTCTCCTCTGAATCCAGGAAGCAGCATTGCAAATACAGTGCCAGCTACTAAAATGATGAAATACTGCCAACATGAAGTGATTTATTCAAGTCAGAGTAAAGAAGGGGGAGCTCATTCCAAGACGAGTCTATTTGTATAAATGTCTTTACAAATGTAGACCAAATAGAAACCAAACTGCTACAGCAGTGATTCCCCAGAGAGGAACTGTAGAGGGTTAGGAGAGAGGAGAGAGCTTACTTTCTGCTTTGCGTATTTGTGTGTTGTTTGAGGATAGCTTACTTTCAGCCTTATGTGTTTTTGTGTTATTCAAGATTCTGTTGTTTGTTTGTTTTGCAATGAACATGCCTATTACCATTTTGAAAACAAAAAGTATGTTCACCAAGAAAATGGCATTGGGTTTAAACTGTGATCCTTACAAGACTGTTATTCACTTCACCAGAGAAAGCTGGGGTTGTTTGTGAAAATGAACCTTTCAGATGCTGGCTATATTTTTAATTTGTGATTGCTATTTCCCTGGCTTTCCTGGCGTGTTTGAAAATACATATGTTTTTATATGTGCTCTAAGAAGCGTCTATCCACAAATGGGATGGAAGCAACACAAAATGCATCTCTAACCGGTTTCTTTTGTCTCCTCCAGATCTCATTGGCCTGCCGTGGGTGTGCTTTATATATACAATTATGAGTCTAGCATCCCTAGTTTTTGTTATTGTGTTTATACCTGAAACAAAAGGATGCTCTTTGGAACAAATATCAAAGGAGCTGGCAAAAGAGTGAGTATTGTGTGCGTTGCTCTCTGAACAGCACTCTTAGCTCAAAAATTCAGCTTTTATATACAATGAAATGATAATATCTGAAATTATTTTAGGACATATGCTTTGGTGGGGAACCATATCTCAAAAAATAATTCTAGTTTCTCTGCTATATGTTTAATTTGCATTATTCACCTAAGAATTTGGAATAAGCACAGTTTTCTAGTCTTCCAAAGCTCTTTTCAGTAATGATTCAAGAACCTCTCCTATTTCTGTGCCTCCCCCTCACAGGAGTGGTTTTTTGTTTGGGGTTTCAGATTGGTCCCAGAATGACATGCTCACCCTGTGCTAAAACAGTGCGCTTCAGCCTTCTGCCTGTATCACACTGGTAGGTCTCTTGAAGCCCTAAACACCCATTAAGGCTACAATTACCAGGAAAACTCTTGGGCTTAAATGTCTAGAGTTATTCCAAATATGGCACAAAGTATGTTATGCAAGATGAAGAGTTTCCTACATGAATAGGCAATTAGAACACTAGTTAAATAAGACTCACATGGAGAGATTGCTTAAACAATTTAACACAGTAGTGGGCTGTAGAAACCCTTGTTTTCTTTAGGAGCAGAACTCACAACTCTGAGTGATGGAACTGGCCTGGGGGAGGAGGCGATCAATGTGCAGGGGCCAGGCATGAGAGGGAACTTGCTACTCTTCCTAGCATTTAAGCATTCTACTTGAAATGCAGGAATATGTGTTCTTAGGCTTTAATATAACAGGAGGAAAATACATATTTACAGTTTGATTTTCTTCTAAAAATACTTCCAATACACTAGAGAGAAATGTTATGATGGCTAAAGAAATTTGTAAGCACAGTGATTCTTCAGCTTTTGCCCGAAGGAAGAGTAAACTTGATAGGTGAACTGATATATACTGACCGGTATATGTGTACAAGTATATAGACTGAGTATTTAATCCTGGTTTAATAGTATTATATAATAATTATTTATTATTATTATTATTATTATTAGGGTATAAAGTGAGTAGGAGCATGGGCGATTTTTACTTTGTACTTTATATACTTTAAAATGTTTTACAGGTAATTCTCTGGTCATTCAGTAATTAGGACTCGGTGCTCTCACTGCTAGGGCCCGGGTTCAATCCCTGGTTGGGAAACTAAAATCCCACAAGCTGAGTAGGGGCAGCCAAAAACAAAGAAACAAAAAAAGGCTTACATTTTAAAGACATTTCATTTTAGTAAGCAGAAAAACTTTTCTCTTAATTTAACATAAATATCAACTGTAAGGCTAATTTTTGATGCAGATAAGGCCTTATTTTTTTAAGTATTCAATGAAAATGAAAATTATTCACTTACAAAAAATATAATTGTCATGAAAGCCAGATATCCCCTTGGCCTGGTCAGAGCATTGACTGGCTTTATACAAGTTAAAGTCAAACAACTGGATTTCTTGGTGAGTGCAGAATCTGAACAAGATAATTAATTACACATACATGATTTACATAAGGAATATCTTCAGACCTTAGTAATGCAGTGCATTCATTTGTAGACTGGAAACACATCTGCCAGATGCAGGCCTTTTCCAGAACTGAGCTGCCAGGACCCTGTTGACATCCACCTCTGTTGGTCACCCTTTACTTCTCATCCTTCCCTAAGAGCTTGTTTCACATCAGTGGTCTGTTTAGATATAAAACCTTCTCCCCAGATGTAGTGGCTTGAAATACACTAGTTGCTTTTTCCCATGATTCTTTGGTTTGGCTGGGTGGGGCCCTTGCTCATTTCACCTGGGCTCAGTCATGTGACTCCAGCATCAGCAGGAAGGGCAGTTGGAGGAAGATGCTGACACAGAGGGGCGTTCCAGTTCTCTTTGGGTGGCCTCATTCTCCCGGAGGCTACTGTGGCTTCCTCACCTGTCAGACTCTGGGCAGCATTCCCAGGTGGTGGAGGCAGAAGCTGCAAGGTTCCGTGAGGTTTCCATTCTGGAAGTCACACTACATCACTTCCATCACTTTCTGTTGTCAGTACAAGTCCTAAGGCCAGCTCAGATTCACATAGAGATTGACTTATGTCTTGATTGAATGACAGGCAAAGGTCTTTTGTTTGTTTGCTTGCCACATTTAACCTATCACATCTATTCTTTCTTTTTTTTAAAAAAAAAAAAGTCATTTATTTATTTGACTGCACCAGGTCTTAATTGCAGCATGTGGGATCTAGTTCCTTGCTGCTGCTAAGTCGTTTCAGTTGTGTCTGACTCTGTGTGACCCCATAGACGGCAGCCCACCAGGCTCCCACGTCCCTGGGATTCTCCAGGCAAGAACACTGGAGTGGGTTGCCATTTCCTTCTCCAATGCATGAAAGTAAAAAGTGAAAGTGAAGTCGCTCAGTCGTGTCCGACTCTGTGCAACCCCATGGACTGCAGCCTACCAGGCTCCTCTGTCCATGGGATTTTCCAGGCAAGAGTACTAGAGTGGGTTGCCATTTCCTTCTCCAATAGCTCCCTGAGCAGGGATTGAACCCAGGCCCCCTGCATTGGGAGCGCAGAGTCTTTGCCACTGGACCATGAGGGAAGTCCCACATCTACCGTTTCTTGAAAGTCTTACCTCCTGCATGCATGCTAAGTCACCTCAGTGGTGTCCAACACTTCGCAACACAATGGACTGTAGCCCGCAAGGCTCCTCTGTCCAAGGGATTCTCTAAGCAAGAATACTGGAGTGGGCTGCCTTTTCCTTCTCCAAGGGATCTTCCCAACCCAGAGACTGAACCCACATCTCTTACTTCTCCTGCATTCCAAGTGGATTCTTTACCACTAGTGCCACCTGGGAAAACCTTTTACCTCCTAAGAAACAACTTTTCCCCCTGGGTCTTCTTCTCCTACCTCATCAACTCTTAATTCCTTCTTTCTCCTTCTACTCCTACATGATAGTTTTCTTTGATATCTTAGCCCTACATCCTTTTGCCTTAAGGCCAAATCTTCATCTTCAAAGCCTTGAGTAACCCTAGTCCTGGATAGTATTCGTTTCTCCTGGATCTTTAAGATTTTCTAGTCCTATTTTCTTTTTATGATGCCCTAGCTAAAATTGTCGTGGTTTCACTTCCTAAAGTAAGTTATAAAATTTTGGTTTCCAGGGATGGTCTCAACCCATTATCTTCCTTATGTAACTTCTACAGTGCCTCAATTAAAATTGATTCCTAGTGGATGACTGAAAAATATCCACCATGTGGCCTGTCGATCCAATGCTGACTTCATTGTATGTGGGTATTAAATTGCAGACAGCAGTATAAATCATAACAGGTTTTGATCTGTGGATCATAGGATGAGATTTAATCTATGACCTAACAGTCTGTGCAACGAGAGGAGGAAGAGGTATGTGCTCAGAAAAGGGAGATGAATGGGCTTCACCATACTGCTCCCTTCCCACAACTGCAGAGGTTATTCATTCAGCTCTTTGTTGATGATCTACTATGGACTAGACACTGTATTAGGAAAGAACTGAAGATATCCAGAGTCCATAACTTCCTTATTTGAAGAGGCAGACTAGGAAACAGACCATTGCAATACACTGTGTTGGCAAGTGCAAAGGAAGGTCACATGTACTGGGGAAGAGAATTCCTTTAAAGGTAAGGGTTCGTTACAATTCTGGTGAGCAGTACTAATTTAAAAAATTGAAGTAGGGAGAAAGCAGTAATGAATGAACTGAACAAGGCTATGCATCACTCCTTATCGCACTCTTTTAAAAAGTCTTAAAGCAGAATGTTCTCAATGAATTAAAGTTAAGAAACTTTTAGATTTTTCTTTTTCATATGGGACTGTCAGAATGTATCAAATTTCAAACCAAATGAAAGTTTGAAGACAAAACTTAAGAAAAGCCAGTCTTTCTATCCAGTAGACCTCCACAATAAGGCATTCATAAGAACATAGTGATTTGGGTAGCTAAAATACAACAAAACATATGCATTAGAATTCAGGGTAGGGAAGAAATCCATCTAAATTAGCAAAACTCTGCATTATGAAATGTCTTTGAAAGGATCACATTTCTGTTCCTTTTGAGTCACACAATTACTCAAACTTAAATACAGACCCTCTCCAAGAAAGTTTTAAATCGCAAATTAGGAGAGATCCAAAAGCCAAAGGCAGACTCTTCTTGTGCCAGGAGGTTGATGGAGAACAGATATAAATAATGGCACAGGTGTGTATGAAAGATGAGTTGGCAAAACAGTTCTGCATTTGAATTCATTTCTAGCAGCAGCAAGCAGCAGTATCTACCCGGGTTGCATTCTTGCAGGGAAGCCCAGTACCTGAGGGCAAAAAGGAAACAGTTGCTTTCAGAAATCTTGGTTAACTGAATTCTACAACACCAAAGAGCCTGGGACAAGTCTTAGCTTGAATCAGCAGGTTGGCCAGTGCTTTAAAAATTAAGAAGTAAGCAGCCTGAATGGTGTAAATTGGCCAAAGTTATGTATGAAGTATGTGTGTTAAACAAGGTTCCCTGGAGGGAAATGGTGGAGACAAAAATAGAAATAAAATACATAATTTTATTGAAAATTTATTGAACTAGCTAAGTGAACATGGAGCAGCAGAAAGCCCCAGGGAACTTGAGAGGACATGAAAGTTGAAGAGAACATGAAGATGAAGGAAGGTTACAGCTGAGCTAAGAAAGTCTTTCTGAACTTAGGAGTTAGTGAAACAAAGAATCAACTTTTGTCACCAGGGAAACACAGGGTTCAGATGTTATGTCCAATGATTTTCTAAGCAATAATACTACTTATTATATCGAATTAACTTCAAATTTGATACTCCGTTCCACTTAATATTTTCGTTCCTCATATTCAGAGCTGGTTTCTTTTCCTTCTGTTTCTACAAGGCTGAGAAAACACATCTTCTTCCAAAGTTGTTAAATTTTTTGTAAGATAAACAATGACTCAGCGCAGAGGTCAGAAAAGATCTCACTAATAATGTAATTTGAAAGGATTTTATTTTGAACCCGTGCCCTGCCAGCTACAAACACAA